GTTCGCACTCCAACGCAATAATATTTGCAAGGGTCGTTGTTCATGCCGAGATTGTATATCTAAGGCAGAAAATATAGTTTCTTTTGTAGCTAGATACATCTTTTGGCTATAAATCGTGGGATTGAGAATAAAGTTTCGCTTTCAATTTTGTATTTGTAGCCGAGAACTCTGAGAACTGTTCTTTAAAATAAAATGAATTGACAAAGGCTTTTGCAGGATGCTCATTATTCTTGAAAATTAGCTAAATAAGGTTTTTTTTAATTTTTTTCTTCTTTCAAGATTACATTATTGTATTGAACTTTGATTTTTTTGAACTTTCGGTTTTTTTTTAAATCTTCAAACATAAACGAACATTGCTGTTTCTTTAACTTTTTCAAGTTTTTTTTTTCATTTTTCACAGCGGTAGAGCCAAAAAGCTCGTTCTTTTTATAGTTTTTTCCAGAACATATTATTTTAACTCTTTTATTTTGGAATCGGAATTGGGTGAAGAAAAAGTCTAAGTTCAACCTTGACTTGAAGTTTGACCTCGACAATTTTCCTGCCTGTCACTTCCCTCTAATTGCAGCTCAAAATCATTTTTTGTCTCCGGACTTTTGAATCCGGACTTTTTTCAAACGTTTTATCATCTACAAGCTTCAATAACTTCTTTTTTTTCTTTTTCACCAGACCCAAGCTTGACCACTGAGAATTCGAATGATCGTTCACTTGCAGAATCTTCCTTTTCTAAGAAAACCTGACTCAAACTTTTGTCGTCAGCGCCTTCACGGTCTAATTGCTCATAAGAACTTCCAACTCACGATACTACTATTTCTTCTCTTACAATTTCAAAAAACTCTTTAGTTTCCGCTTCATTGCTCAAGCATGCTGATGAGGAGATATTACGTCAAAACCCATGAAAAAAGCCCATTTGTGTGGCGGAAGTTGAAGAAAAAAGTAACCTGTACCGCCTACCTCTGAAATCGAAGTTTTCACCTGACCCTCTCACTTTCCACAAAGTTCCTCCCAAATGCAAAGTGGTTACTTTAATCTTCACCGCGTGTTGTGGTTCAGAAAAAAAAAGATAGAAGATCAAAATGTCTCTTTTCAGTATGTCTGTCCTTTCAATTTTCGACGTAATATAATTCATAACTCTTCCGCATCCAAATTTTTGCAGTCAATTTATGCATTGCCTTTTTTCGGCTAAATTTGCAGAGCTGTTATTTTGAAGGCTCACTGCAAAAAAATTATCGCGTTTTGAGTTTTTTTGGTTTTTGAACAAGGCTTTTTTTGAAAAATTTACAATAAATTTGTGAAGATTTGATTCATAAACCTGAAAATTTTCCCAGTCACCTAAATATTTTTTTCTTTAGATCAGGAATAGGCTTTTCGAAGCTCACTACTGTAGATTTTTTTTTCTCAGCTTCACCTCTTACAGTTTTTTTCATAAGGCATAGATGGTATTCCGAATTTTTTTCACTGTTTTTTCTCAGTTTTCAGTGTTTTTCCTTTTTTCAAACTGTCACAATTATGTTCTTGAACCCTTCCCAAAAGTTCCCTCTGCTTTAAATGTTTCTTAACCATGCTAACTGGAGGGATTTTCAACTTCTTCCAGCCTTTTTCAACTTTTTCCTCTCAAAATATCGATTCTTGATATCCACTCTCAAACAAAAACACTTCCAAACCAAATTCTTCATTCCTCAAGAACTATTGAAAAAAAGAAAAAAACACTTGAAAACGCGATAGAAAGGCTAACGAAAAAAACACCGTCGTCGGTTGCTTTTTCAAGCCCAAAGATGACGAACTCGATGTTGACTAATTCATTAGGGGCTCTCTGAAAGCTCCCAAAGGACTTTTTGTGGAAGAAAAAGAAGTGAAAGACAGCAAAAAAGTCAAATAAAGATTGTTAACGAGGACATTTAGGGCAAGAAAGAAAGAAGAGCGTCATTGAGTTCGGAATGACTATTCATTGGTTTGATAGTAGCGTAGGCGACTTTGCTGTTTCAGTATTCATCTCGAGTTTTGAAAAAAAAGATGATATCTCTCTCAACGAAGAACTTTCAGGGACACGTGAAGATTTTCTGGAACTTCTATGTTTGTTCAGCAGTAGTTTATATGATTTTCCCGTTTCACTGATTTTTTGAAGTTTTTTCAGAAGACTGGTGCGGATGGTACACAAAAATAACATCAAAAAAATCCTTTTTTATATGAGTTTCTGTGAAAATTGAGGTTTTCAGTTTTTTTTTTTCGAACTTGATACCTTTTTTGAGTTCACTTTCCATTTTTCATGTCTCTTAAAGCTTTTCCAGCAGTCAAAATTTAAATTCATTCTGCCTTTTTCAATTATTCTCTGGCATTCGAGTCAAGTCCAAATATATTTTCGTGACCCACCGAGCGAGTTCCAATAACAAAAAAGGATATTCTGAATGCCAGACAGACTTTGGATCCGAGCAGAGAAAAATATAATTTTGGCACAAAATGCAGGTGAAAATCATCGAATTCTGTTGGATTCGTGTTCCGAACTCTCATTGAGCTTTTCAGATTAAAATAGGAACTTTTCAATTGAGAACGCTTGAGTTTACCGACAAGTGTTTGCCGAGTTGCGCGACCAAAAAAAAAGGATAGATTTCAAAAATCTGCCGGATCCAAATTCTTTTTCATCCTTCGCTTCAGAAAACTTGAAAAAAAACACTATACAAAGCATTTTTCGATTATGCGCACTTCTGGGTGGTGAAAAGAGTTTTTTGCCCTTTAATCCGCCTGGTTTCAATTTCCGGCACACATCCAGGATAACATGACTCAACACGTTCCGTTGAATTTTCGGACTTCCTATCTCTCGAATGCTTTATAAGATGAAATTCCGCGTTCAGTTGGTTCGAGTGATTTTAGTCTGCTCAGCTTTCATCTAAAGCTTACTTCTAAATGTTTTTCGAAATTTTCAGGACGGATTCTGTGAAGTTTTATTTCAGAAACTCACTTTTTTGATAATCACTGAATTAATTAAAGGATGCGTGAAAAAAAAAAACCAATTTTCAGTTAGAGCATGGACTTTTCTAATTATTTTATATAGTCCGTAGAAAATCTTTTCTTCGTTTTTTTTTTGTCGAACCCCCTTCAGCTTCAAAAATGAACTTTTTGCTACGAAAACTTGTTCAACCCTAGGTTTTTGGTTTAATGCTTCAAAAGTCTGTTTTCTCAAAAAGGTCTTATTTTCACAATTTTACTTCAAAAATTTATCCCTTCGATTTTTATAGATAACTTTTTCCGTTTCTATTCAAACTATTGCCTTTTTCTGATTTTATAACAACATTTCCCTTCTCCGAATTCATATTCTTTTTCCATTTTTGCTTTTTTTTTCCAGAGAGGAAATTAGTTCAGAATCATACCGAGCAAAGTCACGTGTTTGGGTAATTCCATGGGAATTTTTTTCGGAAACACTCTCTTATGGACTAGAAGACGGACATGGATATTTAAATTTCAAATCATCTTATTTTTTTGAGAAGGACTTTTCGAAAGTCACATGACAGAAGACTTTTTGAAGATAAAAAGGTGTCTTTGAAGGTTTTTTCAATTGAAATTGATAGAGTTTAGAGATTTTTTTCGGCCATATAGCAAAAAAATTAAATTCTCTTCCTCCAAATTTTAAGAAGTTTTAAAAGACCGTCATCACTTTTTTTTTCATGTATTGTTGGTGAGAAAAGATGAAATTTTAGGTGGTTTTTGTATGAATTTCAATGATTTCAAACCATGAGAAAATTTTCCATGGTTCAGAACTTGTACAGGAAGGTTATGGAACTCTGACTCTCACTATAAAAAAAATACAGGAAAAAAATTTCGCTGATTTTAAAGCGCCATAACTTTAAAAAAAAAAGTCGGAACGGAGAGTTTTTATTTACAACTATATTCTCGTCTACTAAAAACGTTATTTCCTGTCAGTTTGACTCGTTTTTCAGTGATTCGATATTAATCACTGATCTTTTTGCTTCATTTAATCATATTAACTCGAGCCGAAACCGGAGACTCGATGACTCCAACGACGGCGCCGTTAATGCATCCGTTAAAAACACATCTTTTTTTGAGTGCCCCGCCTTCTGATCATTTCAACGCTCGTCTAACCTTGTTGACCGTCTAGTTATGCCCCAAAAAAGGAGGATTGTTTACAAATCTAATGCAAAAGAGGCATATGAATTGCACTAGACGCAAGATCGCTTCACGTCTTTTGCATAAGTTGAGTGGTGCTTCGAAATACCAATTTTTGGAATAAAAAATGAGTTGTGAAATGTGGTTTCGCAGAACTTTGAGATTTAGGAATCAGAATAATTAGCGCAAAAATCGAAAAAGCTCTTTTTCGTGTGGTGCAGATTTTTAAGATTGAAATCATATCCTTCCTTTAGTTTTTAATTTTGAGCTTTCTGCCAAAAAATATGAAAAAAGATATCCCGAAACTTCTCCTCATTTTTTTTGCCCCGCTTCAAGAAACCAGAAAGCTGCAGGAAAAGTTTGTAGTTTTTCCCCTTTTTTTTTGTACTTTTCTTTTTTTGCGTAAATTGTATCAGCGATAACTTTGAGGAAAAAAATTGCGCCAAATCTCATTTTTTTCCGAGGAAACTCAGAATTCCGCTTCAGTTTTTTTGGATAATTTTGCTAAAATCAAAATTCATTTTTTTTATTTTGCCTTTTTTCAGTCTTTCAAAATAATTTGTTACCGTTTGTTTTATCTTTTTCAAAGATTACTCTTGTAACTGTATTTTTTTCGAGTCCTCAATATTAAGATGTGCTCGGGACTTTTTTCGGAACAACAACGGCTTTCTAAGAGATACTCATAGCATCAAAATTGTTTTACTTCCTCCAGGAAAATGTTTCTTTTTGTCAATTTGATCTGCTTCTTCTCCCGACATCGTTGAATTTTGATCTTGTGAAAGAATGAACTTTGAGAAAGCTCTATTTTCAGGCAACCTTTTCGGTTTCATGCAAATCATATTTCACAACATCTGGCTTCATAAATAAGTAGAGGAAGGAAGAAAATGACGACTTTACCGATGATTGCGCAACATCCGGCCTGTTACTACAATCGCTCCTGCAAGCCGATGTTCATAGCGCTTCAGGTTATTTTTTCTTTCCGTTGTGCCATTTCAAGACGTAAGTGGTTTCGTTGCGAGTTCTTGCTCAGCGAGTTCCTCAACGCCATTTGATAAGCTTAGTTTTGCAGAGTACTCGAGTGGAAAGGGTTATTAAGGTCATTCAAAATTGTGAGCGAGGGCGTTGAAGGAGAAGAAAATAGGGAGTTTGAGAACAACAAGCACTGTGATGTCCGTTGAGAGGAGAGTTGAGAAATTAGAAAATTTTCAAACTTCGTTCACCACCAGCTCGAGATATAATAATTTCTACTGAAAATTTTAAAATTGAGTGGAAATATAATCTGTGTGATAAGACTTGAAATTTCACCCAACGACATTACGCTGTTTCGCTGCGTCGCGAAGCGTCTTTGCGAGCCTCGGTCTCGCTTTGAATCGGTTCTCATATCTGATAGATGGGCTGTTCTACTATGAACGCGTGTTGGTCAAGTTCTGGAATAAAATAAAAAATTGAAGGCGCGGCCGAGCACGTAGCAAAAAAGCGGAATGTCGTTCGGCGAAATTCCAAGTCGTGGTACACAGAATATGTTATAAGATGGTTTTTTCGTAGTAAAATTGGGCCTTCTGACGTTTGAAAAGAGATTTCTTAAGAAAAGATTCTCGTAAAATCTTCAAATTTCATTTCATTTTTAATCGGAAACGTCTTATTTGAAGAAAAAATTGCAATAAAAAGTGCCTTTTTCACCTCTTTAACAACCTGAAGATTTCTTCCTAGTTAGAGAATTTTGTTCGAAGGAGTGAGGTTTGGATAAGTTTTATTTTGATCAGTAAATATCAGATCCAAAAGAAATTTCAATTTTCAGGTTCCCGTCGATTGGGCAGTTCCAATGTACGGCTACGTCATGCCTTTCATCGTGACCTTAACTTTGGCCACAAATTCCTTCATCGTCGTGGTTTTATCACACAAGTACCTGAGAACACCGACAAACTATGTTCTCTTGGCCATGGCCGTTTCTGAACTTCTGACCGGGTTATCCTGTATGCCTTGGTTTACCTATTATTACACTTTGTCAGGTGGGAAAACTTTCCTTTTTCATTCAATAAAAGCTGGACTTTAGGCTACAAAGTCGATTTACAATACGGGTTGCCACCTTTTTGGTGTACAGTTATACCATATATGGCAACCTTTTTCCCGTCCATCTTTCATATGACGGCGATTTGGCTCACAGTTTATCTGGCTATTCAAAGATACGTGTACATTTGTGTTCCGACGCTGGTTCGTCGGTTCTGCACAATTCATAGGAGCAAGCAGGTGAATATATTTGTGCAATTTTTGAGGAAAGGAAGGAATAATCTGCTTTTTGAAGAAAAAAAAAACATTCAAGGATTACCAGAATAACAGACCTTTGCTTGACTTGTGTCCTTGTTTTTAGGTCAGATAATCTCAGATTTTTTAACCTTTGAAAGCACCTGACTTCAAACATATTGAAAGGTGTAGGTAATAATATTTTGTGTCCTGAGTCGGTTGTGCACAATTCAAGCAGGTGGATATATTCCTGCTTTTTTCGAGAGAGAGAAAAGGAAGGATTACTCTGCTTTTTGGGAGAAAAATGTTCACAGATTACCTGGATAACAAACATTTCTCAGGAGAAAAAATACATTTTCTCCACTTTTTTCCGTGTTTTATTTTAGTTGAGATAATCTCCGAGTTTTTTGACATTCAAAAAACACATGACCTTTCTATTCAAAAATGTAGGTAAACATAATCTCCATCAAGGAAGTGGCAGGAAGGATTATGGGAAAAATCGGAAGATGAGAGAATTTCAGGTGATTTCGGCGATCTGTCTGATATCAGCGAGCATGTATCTTCCGGATTTGTTTGCGGCGAAACATGAATCTCACGCCGTCTTCGACATGAGCAGAAACAGTTGCGTTTGTTCGAAGTCCTGGAAAAGAAAAATATTGAAAGTTTTTCAAACATGGTTTTGAAAAAATAACTAGTTGGAGACTGGTTTGAATCATGTTTAAAAAAAGCCCAGAGCAAAATTATTTCAATGAAAATTTCGAGCTTGTCTTCTAGTTACGGATCTCAAGAAATATGTCAAAATGGAACCTTCGAAAATAAAATCCTTTAAATATTTCCAGGAACCCTTCGAGTCTGCTATCGAATGAAGACACCGCTGGTTCAAGCCCTAGGCGACGATATTTATTACCATCTGACATTTTCCGCCCAAACTATCCTGGTTCACTTCATTCCATGCGTCCTTCTCGTGATCTTCACCTGGAAACTTGTCCGAGCCATCAGACTTGCCGACAAACGTCATGCTCATCTTTTATCAAAGTATCCTTCTAACAGACTGGAAAACTTCCGGTTTCATTTCCCATTTTGAAAAGAAAAAATAACAGAAAAGTTTTAAGATCGACGAAACGGAAAATGTCTGAAATGCCGTCGATGGAAAACGAGAATCGTCTTTCGAGGTTATTCAAGCAGAGGGAAAGTGTCAGTGAGCCGAGGAGAGCTCATGGATTGAAGCAGGTGCCGAAAATCTAGAAATCAATTTATTTTTCGGATTTTTTGCAGAATACTAGGATGCTCGTAGTTGTTATTCTACTGTTTCTGATCACTGAAATCCCTGCGGCTATTATTTTTGGGGTTCATGTTATTTCGGTATCTTTGAGACTGAAGACTATCAACTATCAGCTGCTCAACGTTCTTCTCATTATAAGGTATCCATTTCAAGTTTCTTTGGAGGTAGTTGAATGAGGTTGTAGTTGACCAAAAAGATACTTTTTGAAGCCTTTTAAAAAAATATTGAAATTGAAGTGAAAAGAAGTGAGCCCGAGTTATGTTTTCTGGAGAACTTTTCGTTTGATAAAGATCAAAAGTTCTAGAAACGTCCTCATCGTCGTATCATATCCGTTCCGATTCGCCATCTACTGCGGGATGTCTCAACAGTTCCGAGACGTTGTCCGACAAGTAAATATTCTGATTTTGAATTAAAATTAAAATTTATTCATTCAGATGTTCACTGGCAAAATGCCAACTCATGCAATTCGTGACAAGGACAATTCAACGACGATCGCACTTGTCCAGGGAGGAACCGATAACAGCGACGAGAAAAGGTTTGTAGGCTTTAAGAAAAAAAGACCTATTGGATAAGATTTCCAGAAGAACTTCCTCCATAGTCAGATTCATTTAACTACAATTTTCAACAATTTTTCTACTTTTCTTCAAATTGAAACGAGTAATCTACAATTTTCAACATATCAGCCTCAGTTATAATCATGTGAGATTAACATTTCGAGATTAATCAAAACCCTAATTTTAAGAATTTCTCATTATTCTTGATTTTTTTGAACTTCGAACAGTTCAAAAAAAAAATGCAAAAAAGTGAGGGCTGAGCCGGGGATTGATCCCGGGACCTCTCGCACCCTAAGCGAGAATCATACCACTAGACCACTCAGCCGCTGACCGACGCGCGTCACTTTTTCCGCACAGATTGCGTCCGAGGCGCTGTAGTATAGAAGGATAAGGCCTTCCGAGACCTTCTGGTCACTGAAATTTAATTTTTTGAAACAAGAAATTTACTTATAGAGCCTTTTTTAAGGTTGTTTTGAGGTTTTTGACACAAATGAAACTGTAAAAAGTACTAGCAATTCTGGAATAAAACTAAAGGATGGCGTGTTCATCACAGGACCAAAAATGATCAAAACGCAATTTACTCTAGCCCGACGTTGCACAGAAATAGTAAAATTCGTTTTAGGAGCAGTTTTAATGAGTTCAAGAAAAAAGTTTATTTCTTTCTAAGATCTAAATATGTCGTTTTCTGTGTCCCGGAGACCTGAACTACGATAAAAAAAAGATCTTTTTTTTTGAAAAGAAAATATCGCATAGGCAATCAATTGATCAACTGAAAATTCTTCTTAGCTCCAGTAAAAACCAACATGGAAAATTCTCCCAATCCTCTCTCTGAAAAAAGGTCGGTTTCCCAGCCAAACAATGTCGAAGTTTTGTCGTCAAAAAAGTTGACGAACTTCAGATTTTCAAAAAGAAAGGCAATCATCATGAAGGCCGAACTTTACAAAGGCAGAGAATGAAAGTTAGGACGTTAGTTTTTGTGAAGTTAGGCCATTACCATGGAGGTCGAGTTCAACAAATGCAAAACAAGGCCGAATTTTTCAAAAAATGTGCTGACCTAACTTTCGTAGCTGCCTTCTTGAAATTATTTCGAATTGATTCTTTGTTTTTCAATCTTTATTTCTTTCAGATTGGTAAACTAATGTATTCAAACAAATTACAGACAATCCGTCGTTCTCTGTTCTGGAAATGGAACGCTGATGTCCGCCTTGTCAGCAGAAGCGCGTATGAAAGTGGAATATCGCAAAGACAAGGTTTTTATTTTTTTGATGGTTTTTTTATAATAGAAAATTGGTAGTAGATAAGTTCTTCGAGGTTTTTATTCTCAGTTCTGTTTGCAGGAGTTGTCGAGTTCTGATATAGGCGATATGGCCTGCTGAGGTAATTGAGTTGCTTAGAGAATCAGCACAGATCCCATGCTTGAAACCTTGATTCCCCGCTGAAAAAAATATTTTTTTAGATTATTTTTTTGAAATAATTCAATCAGTGAGGAGTTTGTCATACTGAAACATGAAAAATTTTTCTAAATCGTTTTTATTCCACTAGTTTTTGAAAGGTTTAAAGTTTATTCCCGTCTTGAAACTTTCCACTTTTTCAATGAAGCCTTAAATATCCTTCCCTTTGGATTTAAATTCAAAAACTCAATTTTTAAGCTTTAAAAAAATAAAAAATTTTGAAAGTAGTATCTTTCGGAGTATGTAGCCATAAAAAGAAATTTTTAAGACCGATTCATAAAACTTTCAGTATGATGAACTCCTTTGCTGAGAGCTTTTGCATGGTTTTCCATCCTGCACGATTTTTTTTTTTGAAGTTTTTCGCTTTTTTGGGATTGAGGGAAGATTGAGGATTTATTTTTGAAGTTTGAGTTATTCCATTGAAGTGAAATGAAATGAAAAGCCTTCGTGAGGTCGATTTCAAGTCGTGAAGACCGAGTTTGCTCAAAAATCTGTGCTGTTCGAATGCAACAATTTGGCTCCACGATTCGAATGCGGCTTCTGAATGAAAATTCGTGCTGATTGTTTGGATGTAACACGTTTGCGGAGAAAAAAATGGTTCTAATACTTTTTTTATGTTTTAGTTTTTAGATTTTTATTTTGGAAAAAAATTCAGAGTTTACAACCCTCTAGAAAATTTTTGTCTCAATGGAAATTTCGAATCGGAGGCGATTTCCGTGATTATAAAGAAAATAAATGGGTTCAAAAAACTGTGGAAAAGTTATTAATGAGACTTAGAACGGTGAGATTTAAGAATGACAAGTTCTGAAACATTTCTCACAAACGTGTTACACTCCAATGTCTTTTCCATAGTTCATTCGGCGCTAGCTTTTCGAATCATACAAACCTGCCAAAAAAAACACTTGCTTAAGTGTTCAGAAGCGCGAACTTACCTACCCCGATAAAAAACTTCCCGTTCTTTTCACAGTTTATCAAAGGGTTTCGTGATAATCATCAGGCTATCTAATTTGTAGAGCGCACCTGTAGAATATCAAAAGCTAGCGATGAATGAACAATGTTTTTTGGATAGTGAATTCAACAACAATAATTATTACAGGCGGTTCAATGCGATCCGGCGTCAGAAGATGATTTTGACGTGCCTTTCGATCCTTTTTTGGCGGATCTTTCTGAGCTCGTCGAAGCTGTCGGGTCACCAGCTGTTTTACGGGAAACAGGTGAGTAATTAATCAAGATTTCTCTGTCTTGAGGCTACCAATCTGGAGTAGAAAATGCTTCATTTATTTTCTTTTCGAAGTGATATTAATAATCAGAGAGCTCGAAATTGAAATCAATAAGCGTTTTTCAACAGATTACAACTGGAAAAATTCTTAATAAGGAACATTTTTGGATTTTTAACTTTTTCTCATCTTTTTCATTCTCATTTTTTTAGCAAGAAGTGAAAAGCTATGATCTGGTTGAACTAGGAAATGTTCTTCTCATTAAAACACCTGATTATTTGCCTTGAAGCAGCTGAAAAAGAAAGCTACGTCATATCCTTCTTCAGTTTATACAAGATTTCAGAAAAGTTAAAAAATGATAGGGCATTTTTATTTCCAAATTATAAATGACATTTTTTTTCCAGAAACCACACGGGAATGCTCTACGCAGTGTGGGGTACACATCAACAACGAAATATACGTCAAACGGAAAAGTTCCCTGCTTCGAGCTGCTTTGAAAGAAAATACGATTTTGTGCCAAGCCGTCGCTTCACACGTTAATTAGTTCAATTTCTTGAAAATTTTATTCTCAGTCCAAATAAGAAAAATGTCTTTTTTTTAACATTTCAAAGACTCGATCATAAGTGAAATGGCCCAAAATGTCGTGATATCAAAGTTGCAGAATGCTATTTTAATGATTTAGCTGGAAACTGTTTATTTCAATTTTTCATTTTTCTTTGTTCAAAAAAGTCACTAGTAGCTTAGAAAAAATCGCGGCAATTGAGACATTTCACGCAGTTTTGTTCTTTTCATGAATAGAATCGAAAAAATCTTGCCATATGATACTTTAAAACTTCTAGTGAAATATTTCCCAACGGTTGAATTTATCTGGTAGTTTTCCTCCATCAAAAGTGATAAAAGCGGGACTTTTTGTTCATCAATTTCTTTTTCATTTTTCCTCGGCTCCTTTGAACTAAAACTTCTTCAAATTGTTCCCAACACACATATCTTCTTTCAAAAATTCGTATGATCTCGATCTTTTTGTGATTCGCCTGTTGTCATGATTAGGGCATCTCTAACTTTGTAACTGCTTTGGTATTGCTTCCCTTATAAAATGTTTTCTGAAACAATGAAGCGGAATGTTTTATTTAAAAAAAGTCGTTTGAGCATATAATTATAAAACGTAAAAAAATAAAATTGAAAGATTCAAATCGTGCCGGCAGTTTCGAGGTTAACGTTAGCGTATATGCCTTCTTTCATTTCCGGAGGCTCATCTAACATATCGGCGATCATTCTGAAGGATCAAAGTTGATTCAAAGGTTTATAAAAACGCATTATAACCTTCTAGACTTCAGAAAATCAAAAACGGCTCGTTCATGTAAAACAAATTGCGTCCCTCGGGGATCTCCTGAAGAGGAAAATTAAAATTTTATGTTACTTTTGAGATTACCGTTTCGGAGAGCTTTGAAAACAGGCGCAGATACAAAAAATACGTGAACACGGCCGCTGAGTTCAGGAGCACTGCTCGACAAGGCTTTGTCGAATTTGTCCATAGCTGAAAACATGAAAATCAGGTAAATTTTGGCTTATCAAGTTCTCCAAGTTATATTACTTTTCAAAGTAAAAATAGTTCGTTTTTTCCCTTTTGCATTATTTGCATACAATTATAAAAAAAATTAAAAACGTACCTTTATCAATATATCGCTGCTTGAGAAGGTCACAAACGGGAATTTCATCCGATCTGCTACGAGAAGCAAGTTTCTTATCGCATTTTGAAGCAAGGAACAAGATCTGTTAATTTTTGAATCTAGGTGATTTTCTGAGATGAAACTCACCGTTGTATTCCTACGGAAAGCAATTTTGGCAAACGAAAGGTCCATATCGCTTGGCACATTATTCACGATTATGAAAAGGGCAGTGAAGGAGGATAGGTTATGGCGACTGGAAAATGTCAGTTATAAGAATTTTTAATCGAAAAAAACATGTTTGTGAGAATAAATGTGAAGTGTAAAGATTCAGGCTTTTTAATTATAGTTTAAAAAAATTTGAAAACGAGCTGCGGAAAGGCCAGTTTTTTTATGCAACCGACCGTGAAACTAGTTACGCAAAAAACCCTGAAGGCTCCAAAATTAGCAGCTACAGGAAGAAAACTTTTGAAACTGGCTTTTAACTAGAAAATTCGGAAACTGCGATAGAGTTGAATAACTTCAATCTTTTTTGAGTGTGACAGTGTTTCCTCTTTACTCTACGAAACATGTTTAACTCTGATTTTCTACTCGAAAACTCGATAAAAAAAATCAATTGACCTTGCTCAAAATGAAATCGTCATCGGAAATAGATAACTTACTCGACGAATTCGAAAAACGAGTTGATTTTCTTGGGATAATGCAGTTCCCACAAAGTGACGCTGTACTTCAAGATATTGTCGTCAAACTCGAAGCGTTCACAGCCGCCAGGCTTTACACGACTCTGAAATTTGCTTTTTGACGGATACAGAACTAATAAAGAAAACATTACTTTGCCAGCTGATAAAGGATGTTTAGAGCTCATTCCTCGCATCGCGTTGATCAGAGCTGATTTTCCGACGCCAGAGCCGCCGATGAAACCGTAGTTGAAGGATGTCTTGAAAATGTAGCGTTTAATTTTTCTCGATCAATTGTCAGGGGAAATAATTTATTGATTGCATCATCAACAGTATTTTGATGAAAAACAGCAGATTGGCATAAAAAAATCTTTTTCAATAGGAAGAAAAAAAACTGGAATGTAATGGTAACCACGATTTACGGTTCGTGAAAGTTTGCAAAGTTTTTCAGATCCTTTTGGTGATTTTAAATATTTCAGCATGCTAATATCGCGTTTCAAATACATTTTTTTATGTGAGAAAGTCACATCAATACTAATTTGATAGTTTTCTTGGTGATTGAGTACGAGAAACTAAGTTTCTGAACTTTTTTCGTCAAGAATCTTACCTTTCCAGCCCTTCGAATCATAGTTTTTGGCTCCAAACTATTATACAATCGGTCATCAGTCCCATAGACAATTTCAAAGCCAGCGTCCGCCAAAAACGTCGACTTTTCTACTTGATTCGATACTTTGGGGACCACTTGACCGTCCTGAAAACTTCAAAATGGGATCAGAAACTTTTTCAGAACTTACGATGCGGTAATTTTCAATATCGATTCTGCTGGGTCTTCGAAGTTCAAGGTCTTCCCGCTGGAAATCATGCGTTTCGCTCAAATAGTCCGAAAAAAATTACTTCTTTGCGTAGGCGATTCTCGAGAGCATAGTGGCATCCTGTTTTCAAATCGAGAATTTCTAATAATTGTTCTTCGTTGAGTAAATAGTGCAAATATCTAAAAAATCGAATTTTATAACCAAAGTAAAGGGATGTTTCCAAAAAGCTCACCCAACGGTCCCATTGACGAGATTTTTGATAGTTGGTGCACTGACGAGTATAAGCTCCACGGCCGTCAGAACTTGAGCTTTGTTTTGTAAGTATCTCGAAAATACATTTCTTGCTGTAAACATAGGTTGATTCAACTATAAGATTGAATTTCGGAACCGGCGCTTTCATACTGCCTTTTCATTCCTTGGTCCAAGGCTTTGCCGGTTTCTCGACTTTCCGCGTCCAGGTCGTCATCGCTTTTGGTCAATAGGAAGGTTATCGGTGTTCTTCTGTAAATCTCGTCCGTTTCAAAAAAATGGACGTTGCATGAAATATTCATTATGAACGTCTTAAGGCCGTGGTAAATGAACTATTATGGAATTAGTACCTTGAATGAGCCACTCGAGCAAATGTAACGTCTTCATCAGTTGGAGCTCCATCCGGAATCAGAATGAATAGCCTCTTGAAAAGGCGAAGTTTGTGAACTCTGAAAAAAAAACATTTCATTCGTTTATCAAGACTTGAATGTGCTGAAAAAGTCGTAGATCATCTAAAAAGCCTTCTGAACTTTTTAAGAAGAAAAGGAGATTTTTAAATAAAATTGAACTGAAATGAAAAATTGCTGAAAATTTTGAAAGTATTAAGACTTTGTTGTTAACTTTGGTGTCAGGTGTGCAAACAAATAATCTCACGAGCAAAGTGTTAAAAAAATAAAATAAAAAACGAACGAAAGTAGTTTTTTCATTTTAAAAGTCACACTCAACATAATATCATCTATACAATTACAAAACTCACTCATAGAACTTGTCGAAACCCATATTCGCATCAAAAACATCACTGATCGATGAAAAAGTCCTGGGATAAGGTACTTCCCAGAGAACCGACTGCTGCAGATCTCCTTCAATGAACCTTGAAGTTTTCATAATTTTATTCGGAAAGAAAAATTGAAGCTAACCTGAAAGGCTCCATTCGATCACAAGGATTCCGACCAGCGCTCTGCGGATCCCCAGTGCTCAGGCCTCGGAGAGCATTTATAAGAGTTGACTTTCCCGCTCCAGTTCTACCACAAAAACCGAAATTCCTTCGATTCTAAAGACAATATGGCTTATAATGGACAATTTTCGAATTCAAACCGCATCAATTGGAAAAGCGCCGCTGTTATAAGTCTTTCCAGATTTGAAGGTGAAGTCGGACATCGGATTGTAGATCGGATATTCTTCTATGGTCGTCTGGAATTCGTTTATTCTCAGCCATTTTTATCATTTTTCTCAAAATACCGTTTTAGAAGACATCGAGTAGGTATCAGACGGCATCGTCTGACTCTCCGACACGGTTTTGGGACGAGGCAGTTTCACACTGTAGAATTCGCGTTCTTCTTGAGGTTTTGGAGCTTTTCTCAAGGACTCACTCCTTTCAGTTGTATTTAGCTTTTCAAACAGGGCAATTCGATCCTGGTGAGATCAATGATAATTTAGGAAAAGGTTTTTTTTCGAACCTTTGCGTACATAATATTACGTTTGATCGTAGGGATTGCATCTGTTTCAGGCGGTTGCGGCAGAGGACTCGTATTTCTTTCCAAAACTTGCTCGCCGAATCGTTTCTGTCGGTGTAGAAAAAATGTGTGTTATATACAAAAAAAGACTCTTCAACTGAAACCCAGTTTGAAACCAGGGAAGTCGAAATCAGTAAGGGGGAAATTTACACTTTTTTTTGCAATAGCACCGTTATTAGAGACGTTTTGACCATTTTTTCAGCCAAGTGGTTCAGAAACTAAATCGTGAAAAGTGTTCGTTAATTCATAAAAAAAGTTGTTTTTTTGAATTATTTGGTCCTCAGGTTGCTGTGAATTCATTTCTAAATTTTAAAATGAGTGACTAGCTACCTTATTTCTTTTTGAAGTGAAGATCAAAAAAAGAATTTGGAGGCATCTTCTTAATTTTACTAAGCTTTCTTTTCCACATTCTTACTACTAAACTCGGTTCTAAGTACTATCTTCAAAAGTTCGTGTGACCGTTTCAAAATGACCCTCTCTACAACTTGATAATGTAGATTTTTTTGATTTTTTCACTTCTCAGTACCCTTGTAACGGCATTGTGCCAGCCATCCTTTGGAGGGACGACAGGGGGCGTCGCCTGGATGGGCGGCGGAGGTGGAGGCACTGACGGAGGCGAATCGGAGCGTGGCGGCGTCGGTTGACTCAGAATCGGCGTCTCTTCGTAATAATCCGAAACGCTAAAGCACGAATTAAGACCGAAAAAAATAAATTTTCTCACAAAGAATTTTTCTTTGAAGTTACAGATCATTTCACGGTATTGAAGCAAAATTTTCCACAGCAATCAAATTTTTCTCGCACAAATAAATAAGTCGAAGAAAGACCTGTTACAATTTCTAGGGGTTGGCGGAGGCGCCCTGAATGGGTTCGGACTTTCTGGAGAAACGAGTGGAGTTGGCATAGTCACGATTATGTTAGGAAGATTTGCGTCGCGAGGAAGATTCTGGTTCCGGCCAGGTAAAGCCAGGTGGTTTGTCACCTTCTCTCCACGAGAAGTTTTTTTGACCCATAGTATTTTTCTGAAGAATTTGCTATTTTTGCGACGTTTTTTTATAGATTAGTTGTAAAAAAAGAACGCTAAAATTGAAATTGAGAAGGCGGCGAGATTTGTGAGACGGGACAAATTCTTTACTGCAAAGTTCGAGAGTCAAAAAAATGATTGTTAAAGTTGAATTTTTTTCTATTTTTCAAAAAAATTTTTCTTCTTCGATTTTTTTCGGGGCAATTAATCAATTTCTTTTTTTCCTGAAGCTTTCTGAAGGCAAGCTTTCAACTCATTATTTGAGAAAAAGGCATGAAGCTCCAGGTTGAAACTGTTAAAAAAATTCAGCTTAACAAAAATTTTTCCAAATTATGCAATTTGAAAATTACGATTCCCATCGAAAAAAATTCTAGAAAAAAATTTCATTCTGCAGAATTACAGCTGAATAAACAGGGCAGTTCAAAAATCTAATTTGAAAGTGGAGAAAAATTAAAGCCTCGAGCCTTTCGATAAATTCCTGATCGTACTAGAAACTCGAAACAAAACGGGAGGAAAAAGAGAAAAGATTACTGGACTGAAACGAAAAATTCGAATATATTTTTATGAAGTGGGCGTTTTTGGTGTTGGTTTGGACACTGAAATTCATAAGTTGGAAAAACGTGTGAAAAGCGGGAGAGCGGAGGGATACAAAAGGGAAAGAGCAACTGGTCGCCGTCGTCGTCGGCTTACGGCGACCGATTCCGCATAAAACGCATCATATTATTCAGCCACCAAGGCTCGCTTACAATTTTTGTATTTATTGGCCGAAATTCTTTTGTTCGAGGATTGGAAAAAACAGAGATTTGTATAGGAAAGAGGATCAGAATGGGTTTTGAAAAAGTGGACGATGAAGATGTGGAGAAGTGTGTTTGCATAGGATAGCCCGGCAACTAAATGAGATTTTCAGAGCTTTAGAATTGGCGAAAACACCAGTAACATGAGCAGTTCTCTGAATACGTCTGGGAAAAAAGCTTTTTTAATCTAAGGTAGTTCAAATTCCTGTTATTTTAACTATTTTTTACTATTTCAAATGTAAAAAAAATGCGTCGAAGAGAATTTCTACTCAAAATTCCTGGATCAAAGGATTCAGGCTTAGATTGAAAAAATATTAAAAAACTTAATTTGCTCACTTATCAACTAAGAAATAATTGATGAGTTTAACTATCCGAAAATTCTGTCTTTCTGAAATTTTCCAACCATTTTTCTACATCTTTTGCTTCTCAATTTTTCACTTCCTTTCCAATCTATCCTTCGAATTTCAACAGCTCTTAGAAGCTATCTTATCATCAATTCAGCATCCTAGGAGATATGTCACCAGGTGGCCAGACACATCGCATGTCGGTGAATAATTCAACGAGATCCTGCGGTATCATCCCCCGAGTCAAACTCATTCCTGAGATCCGTCTTCTTCTTCTTCCTACTCGGTCAATTCAAAAATTTAGAAAATGGTGAGTTTTCTAAAATTGCTATTAATATTGAGTGCATGATAACCTCGATACATTTGATCAAAATTTGAGCCTTTGTCAAGTTTTCTAAGTTGGTTAACTTTATATTCTTTCTTTGAAGCCAATAAGGACAGAGAAAAAACTCGGGCTCTACAAAAATTTGCAAAATTTTACACATGTTCCTGTTCCAAAATATTCCGCTTTTTAGAGAAAAACATGACTTTTTCAGTTTGGATTTATTCACGAAAGTGTCCGGCAGTTGATGATCAGAACCTATGGCGAAGCTTTCTGGCTGAAAGTTTTGTAAGTTTTTTTTGATTTTCGAAATCTAGAAAAGTTGGTTCCAGAGAGCGCGCCGGCTTTGAATCCGGCAAGGAAAACATCATCAATCATTACTATTCCGATCAAGATACGTACACGTTGATCGATGCCGTCAGTGTGATTCTCAGTGAGTTGAGGAGGGAAAAATTTGAATAACTGTGGTTTTTTTTAATTTTCATGTTTGAATGCAAAAAAATATACAGAGAAGAAAATTGAATACAAGCTCTGCGGAAAAAAAATCATAACTCCAATCTTCGGAATTTCATGATCGACGCCTCTGACTTTTTTTTCAGTTTTTGAAGCTCTTTCTTCAAAATTTCGAGCTCTCAAACGTTTCAAAATTATTGAAATGGAAGTTAAAAAATTTTTCTTCTCAGAAGTACCCAGGGAGCAAGTTTGGGAAATGTATGGCTGTTTCTTAATCCAATACACGATGGAAACCGGCTGGGACGACCTCATCCGTTCGATGAGTCCCAATCTCAAGGTATGCAGATAGATCTCCATTTTCGATCTACCATAATCCGCGATCGCAGGGATTTCTGGACAACCTCGACTCTCTCCACTATTTCATCGATCACGTCGTCTACAAAGCCAATTTGCGCGGACCTTCTTTCAGGTTTCATTTTTTTGAAGAGTAAAAGTCAGAATTTTTATGAATCTTTAATTATTAAGATAAATTAGAGCTCCTATCGAATTCAGAAGAATCAAAAAAAAAAACTAACTGAGAAACGTTTTTAAGCTTCCGGTTGAATTTTTTTAGTGGAACTCTTCTGTAATACTTTACGACCTCCTTAATTTAGACCAAAAAAAATTTTCTCGCATTAGATCTGGCTTTTGAGTTAACACGCTGTCTCCGTTATTCTCAAAAACAACGGGTACAATAAAAAAAAATATTTTTTGATTCCGACGAAACCTCATCCATTGTGATAACCCATCGTCAAGAATGCGGACACAACTTTTTGAGCCATCTCCTCTTACTGTAGCCGGGTTACGGTAGCCAGGTAGGCACCTGCGTATCTCACTATTGAAGAGTTTTTAGTAGACAAGTGATATATCAATCGATAGGTAATCCAATTTTTGAAAAATTTTTTTACAGTACATACTATCTTAGGTTACTGTGGGAAAATTTTGAGTTACGGCACTTTTTGCGTCTGCCGAGTTAGTTTTTCGACCACCACGAGCTTGAGCCGGGAGATCCATTCTTCCTAGCTCCTCAAAAGATACCTTATGAGAAGCTGTACAAGCTGGTATTAGTTTGAAGAAATCCTAGGTGGACCATCATTTCGAAAAATCTCCCCGAAAGCGCGCAATCGTGGTCTTGCGGCGGCCAAATGGGGAAGTCCATGACGCCTGACGGCTCATTCTTCACAGATCCATTCTAAACTTTGTTTCCATTTCACCTTTAGATATCTATTAATGGTTTTTTATTAAAACTTGAGATGATTTCAGGTTGACCATCATCTCGAAATTTCATTTTGAACCCAAAATTGGCCTGAAAATGGCCTGCTCGCCTTTTTCCACGGGTTCCCTGTCCCCAGCTGAGAAAGTTCTCAACTTTTTTCTTCCTGAAACATGAACAAGAGTGTCTGAACAACAGTTTTATAACGATCGGAAACCATTTTGAAAGGACCATCATCTCGAAATCTCTTTTTGAACCCAAATTTGGCTTGAAAACTTTTGGTTTACCCTTCCAATGAGATTATTGGTTCCATCAATACAGATCTTGGCCCTTTTTCACTTTTTTTAAAAAAAGAATATAAACATGAGAACTGAAAATAAATTTTTATTTTTGGACCAATTCCAAAATGACTGTTTACCTGGGAAACCCACTTTTTAAATAAAAATTTTTGCTTGAAAATCGGAATATCACAAAAAAATAGTCACAAGACAAATGTCTTGTTTTTTTAGGTATGAAAAAAATTCTGAAGATTCAGAACTACTATTTAGGTTATAATAAAAAAACATTAATAAAACATCATCTTGAAAGTTAAGTTCCAACCTCACCGGTGGTCAGAGTGTTGGGTTTTTTTAATGAGAAAAAAATTTCTTGGTATTTCCCATTTCTCATTTTTGATTTCCTGTTTTGAAAATGAATCGGCAGAATAGATTTCGCTGTAAATGATAAAAACTTCAAATGAGAGAACTAAGCCGATATTTGAGTTCAAATCGATATTTCAAGATGATGGTCCTTTCAAAATGGTTTCCGATCGTTATAAAACTGTTGTTCAGGCACTCTTGTTCATGTTCCAGGAAGAAAAAAGTTGAGAACTCTCTCAGCTGGGGACAGGGAACCCGTGGAAAAAGGCGAGCAGGCCATTTTCAGGCCAATTTTGGGTTCAAAATGAAATTTCGAGATGATGGTCCTCTCAAAATGGCTTCCGATTGTCCTCAATCTTCAGTTCAGATACTGTAATCCATGTTTCAGGAGGAAAAAAGTTGAGAACTCTCTCAGCTGGGGACAGGGAACCCGTGGAAAAAGGCGAGCAGGCCATTTTCAGGCCAATTTTGGGTTCAAAATGAAATTTCGAGATGATGGTCCTCTCAAAATGGCTTCCGATTGTCCTCAATCTTCAGTTCAGATACTGTAATCCATGTTTCAGGAGGAAAAAAGTTGAGAACTCTCTCAGCTGGGGACAGGGAACCCGTGAAAAAAGGCGAGCAGGCCATTTTCAGGCCAATTTTGGGTTCAAAATGAAATTTCGAGATGATGGTCAACCTGAAATCATCTCAAGTTCTAATAAAAACCATTAATAGATATCTAAAGGTGAAATGGAAACAAAGTTTAGAATGGATCTGTGAAGAATGAGCCGTCAGGCGTCATGGACTTCCCCCATTTGGCCGCCGCAAGACCACGATTGCGCGCTTTCGGGGAGATTTTTCGAAATGATGGTCCACCTAGGATTTCTTCAAACTAATACCAGCTTGTACAGCTTCTCATAAGGTATCTTTTGAGGAGCTAGGAAGAATGGATCTCCCGGCTCAAGCTCGTGGTGGTCGAAAAACTAACTCGGCAGACGCAAAAAGTGCCGTAACTCAAAATTTTCCCACAGTAACCCAAGATGGTATGTACTGTAAAAGTTTTCAAAATTGGATTACCTATCGATTGATATATCACTTGTCTACTAAAAACTCTTCAATAGTGAGATACGCAGGTGCCTACCTGCCTACCGTAACCCGGCTACAGTAAGAGGGAATGGCTCAAAAAGTTGGGTCCGCATTTCTGATGACGGACAATTATACTGGATAAAGTTTCATCCAAATTAAAAAATATTTTTTTTATTGTACCCGTTGCTTTTAAAAATTTTTGAGAATAACGGAGACAGCGTGTTAAGACGTTTGAAAAAACTTGAAAAAAGATTTTTCGTCGCAATCAGCGTCTTTTGCACACTTCGAAACTTCATACATCAAAAACAAGAACCATGCAAAAAAGTTTTTTTTTTCTGGAGCCAAAAGGTCCTGAAGTATACTTCGGAAAATTCCTCAAAAATTCCAACCAAGAGCTAAAAAACGTCCCTTGGTTAATTGGAAACGTACTAAATTTTTTTCTGGTCTCTTTTTTTATATTCTTTCTGATCGTCTCCACTTTCTACTGATCTCAGTTTTTTTACGCTTCATTTTTAGGTGCGAGGACAACCCAGACGGTACAATCACCTTGCACTACTATACAGGACGGCCTGGATTATATCCTATTGTTAAAGGTTCATATATTCCTAGAGCTTTCATGTTTTTCATCAAACTTCTTCTAGGAGTTCTCCGTGAAGCCGCCAAACGTGTGTTCAAACTCGATGTTTCACTGTCCATCACTGGTTCGTTCTCCATTTCCCTGTCTCTTCTTGAAAAGAGAGTTTTGTAGGCCGAACTCAGAGATCAGTTCAAATGGCGACTGGGGAAAGAATTGAAGAGCATGTCATTTTTTTGATCAAAGTGAGTGCGCAGAAATTTGAAAATTTTGAAAATTTCCATAAAAAAATGCGAAAATTCAAAATTATAGACCCAAAACACGACTCAGTCGAATGAAGATGCTCTCGGTACAGCAGCGGCTCCTATCAACAATAATTACAATATCAGGTTAATAAGTTTTGTATAATTAAATAAAATCTCTTAGAAAGCTTCTTCAGCTGAAATTCTCAAGAAAACTGCAAATATCAGTTATAAGTGGTGTGAAGATGGTTTCTCTTTATGTGAAACTTTTTAAAAACTTTTCATTAAAGTTTCAATCCAAAATCACATTTCCTGTTTTCAGGCTCACCCACCACGACTTCATCTCCACATTCCCCTATCATTTTGTCGTTGATCAAGACTGCAAAATTGTTCAAGTTGGCAAGGAACTATAGTAATATTAACTTTTCCTTCCAAAAAAAAGGCGGATTTATAGTAACCACGTTCCTCGGGACCTTCTTGTAGTCGGGACCCCGTTGATGAGAATTTTCGAAGTGACACGACCTCAAATCCCGCTGGATTTTGACAACATCTGCAATTTCATCAATGCCGTTTTCGTTCTTCAGGTATTTTGTAGGGGAGATCATGACCTCATGATCAAAATTTTGAGGTTAAAACGACGCCTATGGAGTTCCGCCGCAGCAATAAGAGAGCCAATGTTGATTGGTGAGTTGTTGTGATTTTTGACGATTTTTGACGTTTTGTAGCCTAAAAAAATTCTCCTAAAAAAAATTTGTGTATGGGTTTTGAACTCCGAGAACTGTGCTTTGTTTGGATATCGACAAGAACTTTCGAAAATCTAAGAAAACTTTTGGCTTATAAAATTGAAGCATCTCTGATATTCAAAGTCAAGAAGTCGATTTTCAAACTTGAAAGTACCCCAGAGCCTCTAGCTCAAGGAAATTACCACCTAATAGTTTAACATTGCAAAGCATTTTCCAGCCAACCCACGGAGCAAGAGCCTCAACAAACGACTGGCAGTCAGCATCTCAAGCTGAAAGGTCAAATGATGCTGATGGCAAGCGGTAAATATTCTCTCAATATTCCTGCCCCTCAAAAGTCCACGGGATTGTTTTCCAGGCAGCCACATAATGTACTTGTGCTCGCCCTACGTGACGTCAATCCCCGAACTTCTGCAGTATGGAATGCGTCTGACGGCCATGCCCCTGCATGACGCGACCAGAGACTTGATTCTGCTGAATCAGCAAAGGCTGTCGGACGTCGAAATGAAGTTTTTTTCATCCAGAATTTTCTCATTAGGTGCCTATTTGCAGCCTTCAACTCGAGGCTAATAATGAACAATTGGAGAACATGGCCAAGGATTTGGAGGTGAGAGGGAAAGGTGGAAAAATGAGTTCTGTAAAAAGTTGACAAGTTTTTGATATTTTCACAAGTCATACTTCTCGGTATAAACATTAGGATGAAGTACAAGTTCATTAATTGAAAAAGCCTTTCATTGGAATTTAAAGAATGAAAAAGCTGATTTTTTTATCTGATGAGGAAGATGGTTGACTCTCACAAAAAACTGTATAAAGTTGACGATCTATCAGGAATATTTTCAAATTAAGAAAATCTCCAGCTTCAGAACGTTTTTCCTGAAGATGCTTGAAAATTGTTTCGGACCTTCACTTTTAATGAAAAATTTCTCGATCAGCCACTAATTAAAATAAATTTCAGTGGCTCTCCAAAACTTTCAAAATAAAGTAGCATAGTCACAGAAGTGAAAAGGGTGCCTAAAAATTCTCATCAGCGCATATTTAATATATTTTTTTCATAATTTCAACTCTTCAGATATGAAAAAAATTACCGAGAAGCTAATTTTCAATAAGCTTCATTTTTTAGGTGGAAAAAAGTGCGTAAAAAGCAATACTGGAACTTGGTAGATCTTTCAGATCGAAAAAGGGAAAACCGACGCTCTTCTGCGTGAAATGTTGCCTCCAACTGTTGCTCATCAACTCAAACAAGGGCTCAGCGTGGACGCCAGTGAGTAATCAAAGAAAAAAACATTCTGTTTAGAAATCAACCGAAAAGGTGGAAAAAAATGGGAAATGAACGGATTTGCGCATACCCTGCATTGGCTAGAGAGCATAGAAAACGTGGAGAGTTTGTCTCTGAAAGTTTTCTATATATTCCTTGTTTCTCAATAAGTTAATACACTCACCACTCACACCACGTATTTTGCAACTTTTTAGGAGAAGTCCGAAAAGTCTGAATATTAAGACCAAATCTGTTACTTCAAAGCCCATACGTTTTCAGGAGAATACGAAGAAGCGACAGTGATGTTCACTGATGTACCAACTTTCCAGCAAATCGTTCCCCTCTGTGAACCAAAAGACGTTGTTCACTTACTCAATGAACTCTTCACCAAGTTTGACCGTCTTATCGGTTTACAAAAGGTGAGAGAATATGTTACTTTCCTGTTTCAAGCGAACAATTTGAAGGCCTATAAAGTGGAGACCGTCGGAGATAGCTACATGTCTGTTGGTGGCATTCCTGACGTTGTGGAGGATCATTGCGAAATAATCTGCCATTTGGCGATGGGTTCGTTGAAAAAAGAGTTTTCGTACATTTTCCCATTTTCAGGAATGTTGATGGAAGGAAAAACGGTGTGTGATCCAATCACTGGAAATGCGCTTCAAATTCGAGCTGGAATTCATTCCGGGCCGGTTGTCGCTGGTGTCGTTGGAGCGAAAATGCCGCGGTCAGAACTTTATTTTTTTTTAATCGTCAGTTTTCACAGGATTATTTAAAATAGTTTTTTTCTCCTTCTGGAATAAAAAATTCAAATACCAAGCTAGAAAATGCATTTTTTTTGTCAAAAGTTGTCGCATGAGATTCCGTCATAAAAATTAATTTTTGGGTGGTTCATTTTGTGTCCAACGTTTCAAATGTTTCAAAATTCACATGACGTTGCTGAAAAGCATTTTTAACCGATCCTATTTTTTGGAATATCACAACCATCCTCAAAATGATCGAAAAACATTCCAGAACCAAGTTATCAGACCCACAAGTGTAGAAATCCGCTAAATTATAGAGCCATTTGATTTTCAAGTTTTTTTCCACTGACGAGATTTCCTCCAACTGCCGCTCGTTTGATGCGAAAATTACTTCAGATGTTCCTAAATTTCTATCTAAGAGTATTGATAAACTTGCAATATTTTGACTAATAAAATTATATTCAAAGCCTGTGTATACCGGCCCAAAATGAATGAAACTATTTTCAGATACTGCCTCTTTGGAGACACTGTGAACACGGCCTCCCGTATGGAAAGCCACAGTCCGATTGGTCGTATCCACTGCTCGGAAAACGCCAAAATGTAACTTTTCTCTGCTTTCCACTCGAAAGGTTTTTATATTTCAGTTGCGCCGAAAGAACAGGAAGATTCGAGTTTGAGGGCCGTGGAAAAGTCCCAATTAAAGGAAAAGGGGACATGAACACCTACTACCTTATGCGCAGCTATAAGCGATCCGTCTGGGAGATCATCGATCGGAAGAGAGGTGAGACAATAAATTTATTTTGGAGTTTCAGGAAGGTTTTATAGTCCTACTAGATTGAAAATGAAGTTATGACAGCAAAACGGAAACATGGTCATAATGAGCTTAAAGTACTCTGGCAGCTTTTGCAAATTGACTGAAGAGAAAACCGATAAACATAAAAAAAGATTATTTTTTCTTCCTAGCCACTGAAATCAACCTTTTTCGGGGCATGAATTATAGTGAGAATTTTCATGTTACAACCAAAAAAAACCTTTTTTTATTTCAAAATTGATCACCAACTTTTCTGACTTCAACTAGACTGAAGTCAATAGGGCAGTTTCCAATTCGACTCCAACTTGATTATTTTTATAATTGCCTATTTTCCAGACGAAAATATCCAGTCCATTGATGGCTACACGGAGCTCCGCGAAGGTTTTGTCGATGACGCCGTAAACAAAGTAATTCAGAGGCAGTCCAAAACTTGCACTGTTCTTTGAAAAATCTCTTATTTTTCCTCGTAACTCATTTTTGTCTCGTATTTTTTTGTCTCGATCTATATATTTTTGCAATAATAAAGTTGAAGAATGAAAATGTCTTACCAACACGATGGTTTCATGAATGGAAAGCTACGATCAAGTATTTTGAAATATTCAAATTTTATGTCGTTTCCGTGTTTCGAGAGCTATATAACTTTTGATTTGAGCGAGAGATGTACTGAAAAAAGTTCTTGACACTTTTTCAATTACAAATGCAGAAGAAAAGTATTCTATACCCTTTTTCAATCAGATCAAGCGGTTCAAAAAAATTTCAAAAAACATAGTTACACTTTTTTTCGAATAGGAGATTGATCAATTGAGTACTGCCCCGGAGTTTTTAGTAATAAAAAGTCAAAAATGCGAAAATTTCAGTTTTCACACTGCTACTCTTCTTCTTCTGAGGATGAAAGTTCACTATAATTTGGATCAAATCCCATCTTTATCCGGAGACTTGAAAATAAAAGAGAAATCACGTCGTGAAACAACTAATGGACTCCCATAAATATATGTGATGATACAAGGTTCGACGTGAGGGCCATCAAAACTTCTTTTTGTAAAGTCTGAGAATGCTTTGTTGCTTCATCAATCCCCTCGTTTATGTTGGTCCAAGAAGCGTTTGTCGCGTTGTCTTGATATGTTTGTGACAACCGGACATGTTCCACTTCTTCAACTTGAACACAAATATTTTTAGGTCTGTAAAACGTTCTTTGGTTTGACTTTGCAGTTGGAATCATGCAGGACTCGGCTTGTTCAATGAATTTCGAATCCGGAATGCATAGATTCAGGAGATTTCCTAATGAAAATCTTTCCACTTTTTCGTGGTTCTGTTCGTCTAAACTCTGCAAAAATTGGTTCAACCTCTCAGAAAAATGTTTCCAGATTTGTTCAATATATTACTTTTACACAATATCATTTTCATTAGTTCTTTTTACAATCTAACTTTGTTAAAAAACGTAAAACTTCGTGATTATTCTAAAACGGCGCTTTTTTCATTTTATTAACATGAACGCGTTGGGCTAGTGTGGAAGGGTGATGAGAGTGACAAGCGTGCGATCAGAGACGCAGAGGAAGAGAGGACCTGTCATTGTTATTTTCTCCTTAACCTTTAGTTAACTTTTCTCGAACTGGATCATGTTTACAGAGTATGTGTAAACAAATAATTCTCTCTTGTTTTCAGTTTATTCGTCGCAAAAATGGCTGCTCAAACGATAAATATAAGAAGCAAAGAGAGAGAAATCGAATTGGATTTGCCGGATAACACCATCACTAAAAGCTCCATAAAATCTGCGTTGTTGCTTACTGACGATGCGATTGTTTCCCTTTCCTACGAGCTAAATGGTCGTCGCAAATTTTGTCGGTAAGTTACAGTTTGATTTGTTTCTGATTGTGTCTTATTTAATTTAGTGTCAATGAATCTGGAACGACTTTCCTCCTTCCTGACCAATTTCCAACTCTTCGATTCTCTGTAGAATCTGACAAGACATCCTCTCAATCTAGTTCTTCCTTAAGTTTTTAAAAGGTATCCATGATTTAAGATTCGAATTTATTATTTTATGTTAACCATCTTTAATTTGTAGATTTTCATGTAAAAATTGGGATTTTTACTTATAATATTCATTTCAGGGCGTTTGTCTGGCTCTCATCGGGAGCGTTCTGAGTCACCTTACGTCCTCGATGGTATTATATTTCGAATGGTCTAACAATTTATTGCTAGTTTTCAGAGAAATTGGCAGACGAGCTCCGCACCCGTCTGTTTTTCATCCCTCGAGGACAGAAAGCTCTTCAAGATGAAAAGAAAACTTCTGCCGAGCTTGTACGAGAATGTGTCATTGATGGTGGTTGCGTATCGCCTATTTCGTCAAGGGCGGCTGTGACCTATGCGCACAAGTCACACAAAATATTACAAGAGTATGTCGAAGGACAGAATGAAGAAGTCAATAAGCATAGTCTTGTTGAAATTAGGAATGCTCAGGATCACAGTATTCGACATAAAATGAAAGTATCTTAAAATAATGTTTTTTTATAACTAATTCAATATATTGTAGGTCATTGTTGTCGACACTCATCACGACTTTGTGATTTTACGCTCAGTGGACGGAAAGGAGATTTTCGAAGACTATCCTTATTCCAAGCGCTCACCGAAGACTTTTGAGTCGTTTATCGGGTTTGGTCTAAGTCATGAGACTGAAGATGGGCAGCAAATTACTCATCGAAATGGTCGGATATGTTCTGATTCCGTGGACCACAGAGGACGTTTCTTGGCCAGTACTTCGATTGATGCCGGAGACTCCGGAGGCCCATGCTACTCTGCTGATCGCGCTCTCATTGGCATTATGGTGGCTTCAACAACAACAGATCCATGGCTCAGAACAGAATGTGATCGAGAAAGCATCGAAGAAGAACTTATCAAGGCTCCTTCTCATCCAGCTGACACCTGGATCACTCCAGCTCCTTTTATCGCGGAAGCCTATAAGGTAATTTATTTTTAAAGTCTATATATTCACATATAATATTTTTTTAGAATTATCAAGTGAAGCATGGTATTCTGCTAGCTCGACCAGAGAGGAGTCTGAGAGAACCGAAAGCAAAGCGCCGAGCAATGGACACTTTATGACCTTTAAGAATTCTTTCTGACTGTGTATTTGTAAAAAAACTTCTAATTTGTTTGTTAATGTGGAATAAAAAAACATATTTGAAATAGGTTTGTCGAAGGCTTTAGGGCTCTATCAAATCATAGACTCTCAGATCCTTTGGATTATGAGCTTAAAGTAATTTGGCAGCTTTCGCAAATATATTGAAGAGAAAAACTTTCCTAAAGTCGATTTTATTCGATTCGCAAACAAGAAACATAAAAAAGGTCAATTTTTCTTCCTAGCCACTAAAAATAACCTCTTTCGGGGCATGGAATAAAGTGAGAATATTCGTGTTACAACCAATGTAAATTCTTTTTTTAAAAATTGATCACCAACTTTTCTGACTTCAACTAGACTGAAGTCAATAGGGCAGTTTCCGATTCAACTCCAATCAACTTGATTATTTTCATAATTGCCTATTTTCCAGACGAAAATATCCAGTCCATTGATGGCTACACGGAGCTCCGCGAAGGTTTTGTCGATGACGCCGTAAACAAAGTATTTCAGAGGCAGTCCAAAACTTGCACTGTTCTTTGAAAAGCTCTTATTTTCCTCGTAACTTATTTTGTCTCATATTTTTGTCTCGATCTATTTTTTGCATGAATAAAGTTAAAGAAGGAGAATTTCTTACCAACACGATGGTTTCACGAATGGAAAGCTACGATCAAGTAGTTTCAAATATTAAAATGTTATGTCGTGTCCGTGTTTCGAGAGCTATATAACTTTTGATTTGAGCGAAAGATGTACTGAAAAAAGTTCTTGACACTTTTTCAATTACAAATGCAGAAGAAAAGTATTCTATACCCTTTTTCAATCAGATCAAGCGGTTCAAAAAAATTTCAAAAAACATAGTTACAATTTTTTTCGAATAGGAGATTGATCAATTGAGTACTGCCCCGGAGTTTTTAGTAATAAAAAGTCAAAAATGCGAAAATTTCAGTTTTCACACTGCTACTCTTCTTCTTCTGAGGATGAAAGTTCACTATAATTTGGATCAAATCCCATCTTTATCCGGAGACTTGAAAATAAAAGAGAAATCACGTCGTGAAACAACTAATGGACTCCCATAAATATATGTGATGATACAAGGTTCGACGTGAGGGCCATCAAAACTTCTTTTTTGTAAAGTCTGAGAATGCTTTGTTGCTTCATCAATCCCCTCGTTTATGTTGGTCCAAGAAGCGTTTGTCGCGTTGTCTTGATATGTTTGTGACAACCGGACATGTTCCACTTCTTCAACTTGAACACAAATATTTTTAGGTCTGTAAAACGTTCTTTAGTTTGACCTTGCAGTTGGAATCATGCAGGACTCGGCTTGTTCAATGAATTTCGAATCCGGAATGCATAGATTCAGGAGATTTCCTAATGAAAATATTTGCACTTTTTTTTGGTTCTGTCCGCCCAAACTCTGCAAAAATTGGTTCAACCTCTCAGAAAAATGTTTCCAGATTTGTTCAATCTCAGACCTTGGTAACGCGAACGGGACGCGAATCGGACGTGTCGGGGCATTTCTATTGACCACTTTAGTAGCCTCAGAACTCTTAAGTGATCTCTAGAATCGCCCAGAAACGTCCGGAGCACGTCCGTTTCGCGTTACCAATGTCCGAGATATATTACTTTTACACAGTATCCTTATCATTAGTCCTTTTTCCAATCTAACCTTGTTAAAAAGGTAACGTGGTTATTTTCAAACGGTGCTTTTTTTCATTTCATCATCATAAGTTCCCTCGATAAATTTCATGATATGGAAAATTTTTTAAAAGTAGGTATCAAGTTTCAGTAATGGAAAAAAATTTCCAGAACTTCGATCAGAACTTGATCTGACTCTAAACTTGCTGGTTTCAAATTCCTTTTCCAATAAGGCCAAATTCAAATATTTCAAAAATTAGTTATAGCAAAAATGACGCGTATAGCTATCAATTACAGAAAATTCAGGAACTCCAGTAGATGGCTCATATTTTTTATCACAATCTCATTTTCAAAACGTCATATGCAAGTTTTAAAACGAAATGTCATCCGTGGGCGATTGGATACTGGCAAGGCACGTTTCTGAAAGTGACTGCTTTGAGCCTTGAAACAGAGACCTCACATAGCAAAATGTTCACGTCTTCTTGAATGTCAGCCTATTTTTCTCTCTCATGTCGACTTATTTTTCAAAATTTCACAGTGTGCTTATTTCCAGCTTTTTGAACTGAATCGCAAGATTTTGGAGGAAGCTCGAAAGAATCTGAATTTTGAAGGATCTCCACTTTTTAGTCATGGTGTATGATGATCCCCACCTGATCTCATGTTTCAGAGCCCTTTCTAAAAGCTCACAACTATGAATCCACCCAAACGTCTTCTATTATTCAACAGCAGTAGGGGCAAAGGCCTAATTTACTTCGCGCCTCTTTTTTCAACCTAGTATTTACCGGAGAACTCACCACGTTTTCTCATGTTTCTAGCCTTCAATCTGCCAATTTTCTCCCAGGCTAGATTTATAAAAAGAAAGTAAATGTGTTCCTTGGAATTGATAGCCTTTTTCTGTTTCCGTGATTTTTGGTTCCAAAAAAAAGGTGGGAGGGACATATTATTGGCCTTCCTTCAATTTGATTCTTATGTTAAAAATTGATGGCTAAAACGATTTCAAAACGGTTTTTGAAGGCGCTGGAGCCGACCCCAAAACGACTTGCGCTTATTTTGAAAAGATGCAATTGTTAATTCCAAAGCTCCAAAATCTTACCTCTGACCGCAGGGCGACCTTTATTTTTTGAATCTCAAGTGTTTCGAATAGTACAGTATCCAAAGATGTTACAACTTCCTCATAAAATGAGATCATAAAATCGGTCAAAGAAAACGGAAAATGAGGAAGTTGAAGTCATGAGTTGGGATGTTTTGCTAGCGTCCATTCATTTTTATAGCCTCGTGTGGATTTTTCAAATTGACCCATAAAATAGTGATAAAAGAGAAAACGTAGAAAAAGCTTCAGCTTGTTCGAGAAATTTCAAAATTTTACTTTTTGAGATAAAAGACATCGTAGCTGGGCGGCGAAGGCTTTTTTGACCCAGATGTCGTCCGCCGAATTTCTATGAACCAATCCCTCTAGAGTAATAAAACTAATATCTGAATGCAAAAAGAGCTCCGAAACTTTGGAAAGCTGGAAGAAATATTATAAGAACTTGGTTTTGCTGTGACATTCTGTAGGAGAACCTCACTTCGAACTTTGGAGAAATGTATTCAAAAAAATTCGGAAAAAAACTGGGTTTTGAATTTTTTTCTATGATTTTATTTAAAAAAATAGGGAAAAAGCAGAAATTCTTTTCAACTTCTTAAATTAAAAAGTTCTTCTTTCCTTTCTTTGATTTCAACCTTGAAGACCACAACTCTTTTTTTCTCGAAATAAGTCATTTTCTGTTCTCGCAGTGCGCCTGACCTTTTCCGGTTTCAAAATCAAGTGCTTTTTTCCGAAAAAGTTCTCTAAAAAATATCATCTTCTAATCATAGAGCTCTGTGAACTATGTTCCTTGAATGATTTAGATCGGGTTCAAGTTTTGTCAGTTCTGAGCATTTTTTTTCTGTTCATTTTTTGAGTATACCAAGATTAAAATATCAAATTGTATATTGGAACTTTTTTTCATTCAACCTAACCATGTTGAAGTGAAAGCTCAAAAATTGACTTTTGGGTGTTTTTGGAGTCTATTCAAAATTTTACTTGTTTATAGTACACCTTGACGCAGTACGTACTTGTTTTCAAATATTTCTTGAATGGGTACCTTTTTTGATGTCCTTTGAGGTTAAAGGGATTAGGATCCTTCTTTTTAATATTGCTTCATCAGTCCAAAGCTCACATGGAAGAAGAAGATTCCTTGTTTTCTTTCTTTTTTCTCGGCCAAATCATTCTTGACGCGGTTATCTATCACACGGATAGCCTTCCGGAAGAAGCAAGGCCTTAATTACTGGCCGGCGCTGCACAAGGATTTCGCCTTTTGGTTGAATTTGCCTCCGGCGCCTCGCATCGTCATTGTGGCTTCTTGTTTCTCTTGTTTCCGTCTTCGTAGTAAACGCGTGTCCCTCTGTTAACTTCCAGTTACACTCACAAATTGAATGGGATTTAAAGAGATTTCATTCGTTTCTACCAACTTTCTAGAACTACGGGAGGTCATAGACGTCTGGGTTGTTTTCCAAAACCAAATATGTATTTTTTTCAAATCTGCTCGCCTTTTATAGTTGCACTTTTTCTGGTTTTTTTAGCTGAGTCGTATGATTCAGACTCTATACGCAAACTAGAAATAACTGGAAAAATAATTATGCTCAAATCTGAGATTTTTTTTTTCAAAGAACCGAAAAAGCTAACTTCGTTTCTACCAAATTATTTCTGAGACCATCGAAAGCCATAAGAAACATTGGAAGGATGTTTACTCACTTTCTGAAACAGTAAAGCATAAAGTCTAACGCTATTAACTAAATGTATGTTTTAAAATTCCCATTGTCCTTTTTTTTTTAAATTTGATATTTCAGCAATCTATAACTTGTCACAAAAAATAAATTGTCACTTTTCAAAAATGACCGTTTGTCCTGGAAAACTCCAAAGTTTCTTGCTTTTAGTTCATTTTGATTATTTACCAACGCTGGTTATTCACCTGATTATTCACCCATAATTTCTAAAAATATCCAAAGTCTTAGTCACTTCTTGAAGCACCAGAAATCATCCTCATTTTTTATTACACTTCGTTATTAATACTTCTTATTCATAGTATTCATTGATTTTTTTTCATGATTATGAGTCAAGTAACTAGGTTACTTAGGAAGAGTTTTTTTTCCGGTAGAAAAAAAGACAGGCTATTTATCAGTGAGATCAATAAAAAAATTTTCGAATATATGCGTAATGAAATTCATGGAAAACACCATCTTACTAAAATAAACCAATGAATATTAATGATAATGAGAATGAAAAATATGATTTTTCAATTTAAAGCCGAGAAATTATCAACTAACCGCAGAA